CGCCGGCAAGGAAAATAAATAAAGAGAGCATTTCCTCCCCTGACATGCCGGAGGAGAACGTGACGCTGTCAGCACTTGTAATTTTTAATGACAACTCTCGGAATTTATGGCGCCAACTCAACTTGGCTCAATACCCGATCTCCGCCTGGAGAAGTGCTGTGCACAGCATTCAAATGGCAGCTGGGAAAACTCGCTTTCCCTTCCAGAAAAGGGCAATTTAAAGGGCGCAAAATATTGGTCGAGGTCACTCCACCCACTCTGGGGTCAAGCGTCGTCGCCCACAGAATATGCAAAAATGGGGGAAAAAGCTGGGTAAAAAACACAACCCCCTCCTCGTACATAGTCGAATTGGCAGAAATTAGTTCGAGGGGTGCATAAATTTATGAAAATATAAGCGCAAGGGTGTGTCCCCTGTGGGTTGGCTCTCGAATTGGTTATTTAAGTAGCATATGGACGCGTAAATATTGAATTTTTAATTGATTCCAGCTCCGAGGGGAGAAAGCACTTTCAATTAGAACTCATGATGTGCACCACGGGGCGTATGAGTGCTCTCCGATGTCCAGCGTTGGGGAAAAATGTTGCCCAAGCCCTTTGGAAATACTATTGCAAAGTATATATGTAAAATAAATAAATATTGCACATGATTTCAAACTATCTATCTACATAAAGGTATTTGTATTCGCTTTCCACAGGTGCAATACTTGAAGTTGCCAAGTCAATTGAAGAAATTGTTAGGTACTCAGGCAGCATAAGCGATTTATACTTGAAATTTATTTGTATACCCTTGCAGGGAATTATAATTTTTCCGCTTTTCAACTTCTTATTATTTACTGTAACATTTTTCACTATTCCAGAATTATGTATTTAAATTTATTATTATTTATATTCAATCATTTTTCATAATTATTTGTTATTTATTTATTTTTCTATGATCAACTGTTGAAACTAAGTTGTAGCCACAATCTAATTGCAACGTAGTTCCAGGTCTAGGTCGAAACTAGAAGCTTTTTGGAAGAGTCCAGCTTACAAAAGCATCGCCGACTTCCATTATCTCCCTACCTCTCTCTTCCACTACTTCTCCCGCTGACCATTGCAAAGCAGTTCTTCTCACGTCAGCAGCCAAACCGGAGAAGGTAAAAATAAATTAATTAAAACGCGTGTAGGTCAGTAAAAAACAATGTGAAAAACTTACGAAAGAAAAAACACAGGGGCCAAAAGTGTTAGTGAAAATAAAGTGAAGTGAAAATTGAAGTGAAGTAAAGTAATGGCAAAGCCGAGAACAGCCTCTGTTGTGTTTTATTTTTGTTTTTTTTTACAGTGCCAAGGTGAATGCTCTATTTGTTTTTTTGTTTGTTTGTGAAAAAAGAGTATTAAATGAAGGCTAAAGTGAAAAGTGCAGGCGCCTGTCGCGTTTTCTTTTACATAGACAAGATCAGTGCGTAATTATTGACAATTTAATTTGGTTTTTTTTTATGGCAAAGACAAGCTTACCTTCAATTGAGAAGGGTTTTTGTTGTACTTTGTCCACTAATTCACAGTTGGGATCGTTCTGCAGCAACAACTAATGCTAATGGGTGAGTGAAACAAAAAGCTTTTTTCTTTGCTTTTATTTTTGTCTTTGCAATACCATTCTCCCCCCTCTCTTGACCCTGAATATCTGTTTCTTATCAACTTGTAAAGTGGATCCTAAGAGCGGGAGAGCCACTTTAAGAATATGACCCACTCTTGTGGATGCTAATTTTGAGCTTAAGCTGCGTTTGTTTATCTTTTACTTCTGGGAAATTTGTGAATAAAAGAATGCGAATATACCTTTTCTTGTTCTGCCTTCTGGTTTCCCCAAACAAATAATATTTTGCTTGCATGAAATACAGCAATAGTGCAGTCTCTCAATAGTCTTAATTAGAGTAAAAATGGGTAAAAGAGAGTAATATTATTCCTTATGGAGTTCTGGACTTTAGCAATGCGAAATGGTCGTAACTATTTGAGACCATTACTCGACCATTTTCACCATTCGTAAAAGAGTAAATTAATGTCCTTAAGTGCCCCATAATCTGTGATGTTACGACAAAAGTGTTTTGTTAATTAAATGTTCATGATATGGAGGATATACTAAAGTCTCTTACTAAAAGTTAACGAGAATGCTCTGAGGAATGCTTTCTAAAATACGAATATACTATTGTTAGTCTTAATTTGACTTAACTTTTAATAACTAAATTTATGAAAATCAGCTATATACAAACTTAATCACTCTTGTAATTATATTTTACATTTGTGTAATTAAAAACGTACATACAAATATAAAAGCAAAGTGCTCTAATTCAGTCAGTGGCTTCGCACTAACAAGGATAAATGATGATGTCGCTACACAATGCTCACCATCTTGGCTCCCTTTGCTGACCATTGGAATGATGGATGGCGCCACTCCCTTGAACCTCGCTCATAAATGGCCGGCAAATCGTGAGCAAAACTAACTGAGCACCGCAATTTACGTACTCCCCCGACGGGGGGAAACAAATGTGAGCGGAGGTCGGGAGTCAAATGTACCCACACACACTGGGAAATAGGAAAAGCCAGCTGGAAAAGCAACAGGAGCGTAACTTTGGGGAAACTTGCAAGTTTGTTTGCTCACTGGCTGCCATGGCTGTTTGTCTTCTCGGACGGGTTAAGGGGACTTAGAGTGGGGCGCCGCCCACCTGAGCTGTCTGAGTTGCTTAATTGTGGCCAGGATTTTGGTGGCACACGACTATCCCTGGTCACTGTGGACGGGGGCTTTTGCAGTCTGGCCGCTGACATTTTAGTTGCCGTTCATATGTTAATATGCGGGGCGAAAGGCTGAAAGCCAGGCGGCATTGTTTGCCTCTAATTAAAAGCCGCACACACACATGGGCCGAAATGGAGACTTGGCTTTTGGGTTCTGCTCGGTTTTGGCCTGGCTGCGACTTAACACTGTCACGCATGGGTTCGTGCCGGCTTCGGGCTAAAAGGTAAAGGCCGGGCCTAATCACCGGAGATGGGTCGCCCAAGAGTCACAATTAGACTAATGAAAGCGGCATCAGACTGCGTAATTCTGTGGCTAATTTTCATTCGGGTTTTCCCAGACTTGGCCCTCGCCAATTAAAACAGATTATAATCCAATTTATCCGAAAAAAGGCTACTAAGCGGGGAACACACACACATTTTGCGTAGATTCATAGCAGCTGAGAGACGAGCTGTCCTTTGTCTCCTTTGGGGATCAAGGATTCATTCGCCATAAATGCGAGTTGAACGGAATAATGAAAAGCGTTCTCGGCCTTCGATGGGATGTCGCAGACAGACTGTCTGGTTTTTTCTCTCTCTCTGTCTCTGTCTTTATTATTTGCCCGAGGTTTTTTTCATTTTTTCGCGTCTATTTGCTAAAACAATTTTCCCTTTCCCATTGCCATCGACTGGAGCAGCCGCGTTGTCGAAAGCATTTTGATGGATTAAAAGTTAAATGCCCCGCGGGAAATCTCACATTTTCCAGTCACTGACTGTTAGCTGCCTGTGCTGTTCAATTTCAATGCCTGAAAAATCCAAAAACTTTGCCGGGAAATTAGCAGCCAATGCTGCAAAGTACAAAAAAGTTTATGTAAAACAGCTGCACAAATGAATCAAATTAAGTTCATTTAGTTGAATAGCTAAGTGGGGATATGCTTTTCAATCGTTTCTATGAAGAAATTTAAAATCAATCTCCATCATTTTTGGTTTAGCCAAGTTTAGTTGGACAAAATATTATATATCGTGGTTTCCAGGACATTTTTTCAATTGTCATGTAAGATGTGAGCTTTTGGTTTTAATTAGAGAGCAACGTGACGGGCAAGATGTGAAATGTGAGTCTTTGGTGCGACGTGTTCAATGCATGTCGGTTGTAATTAGAGATAATGGCAATTAAAACGTAGCAGGGCACAAAAGTTTGACTGTCCCTGTTCTGTTTTTAATTTTTTTTGTTTTTGGTGGAGTTTTAAAGTCAAAATTGGAATTGCGCTGCTTCGGCTGCAAACTTTTGAGCGATGACAGCTCGACGGCAAAAAGTCTCTCGGCTCCAGACACCGACTCTAAAAGTGGTGAAAACTTTTGCGGTGATAAGCGTCGTCCTTTCGGATAGCTACGGGGTGGTGGCTGGTGGCTAGTGGCAAGGTCTCGGCATTTCTGAGGTCCTCATGCCGATAGCTTGTGGCAGCGCATAAAAGTATGCAACAGTTTTTAGCTTCCGCATTATGCCCAACTTGTTACTCGAAGCCACAAGGAAGTCGAGCTTGCTGCTCCTGGCTGCCGCATTCTGTGCTGGCCTCGTATCAGTTCTCGTCTGAATAGACACGTTATCTATACACAATATGGCTTGAAGTGAGCTCCAAATGATGCCGCCCACCCTTCTCACACAGCTGAACCTCAACATCAAGGCAACTCCGCACAATGTCGTGCATTTCTTTTGTGTCTTTCGTTTTTCGCTTTCATTTTTGTGTGCTCCGCCCCCTTAGACGTGCCATTGTGTTCACACAATCTGTGGGAAAAGCATTTCCCATTTATCCCAAGGACTGCCAGGAACTTTTAGTCTCAGAGCTCAGCTCCTGCAATTATCAACTGCCAAATTCAGCACAGAGCTCGGCGCACAGATCCCACACACTCACTTACTCGAATGCATATTAATCAACCGAAATAAATCTAAATTAGAGCTCTTGACACCAGCACACAACGCACGCAATGCAATTCAATTGAAAATTTCATTTCAACAAGTGGAAATAAGTTGGTCCTGGCGGCCGCAACAATGCAATATTTTATTGCCCAAAGCGCTGTCTACCTGTACAGTAAATACAACTGGGAATGCATACACTCCATTAGGTGGCACATAAATTTGATTTGTTCGACAGGCCTACCAGAGGAGGACTGAGTGTACACAAAGGAAAACATTTGTTTCACAATCCTAATAAATATTTGTTGCTTATGAATATACTGAAAAATAAGAATGCTAAATTGTTGCACAATTTAATTGAAACATTTCCATTTATTAGGTTCTTGTACAAATTTATTGATCTGTTTTACAAGCTGGTCATGCTGCATCGGTCTGGACTCACTTAAATTTCAATTTTGTGGTCTTCCAGCATTTGAAAGGAAAGAACAAATTAACAGGTAAAAAAGTGCATAATAAATCCATTAGGTTATTGAGACGAAGCACCAGGCGAAGAGCATGAAAATGGCACAAATCAGCTGAATCCACTTGAGGCATTTAATTGTGTATTCGATACGCGGAAAAAATTCCCAATGTAAACGCTGGGCCTCCCGGAGACGGCGTATTGGCATATCCCATGGCTCCGCGAACTGTTCGGCGATCGCCAGCTCTGCAGCCTCGTTCTCGTCCTCTTCATCTTCTTCGTCCTCGTCGTAGGACTCATCGGCGCCGGGTTCAGTGAAGCATACACCAGAGGGACGAGGCACTGCACCCGGTTCGGCTAGAAAGTCATTGTCCTCTGGCCCGACATTGGGTCCCTCGCCATAAAAAGGCATGATGTCCTCATGCAGGATCAATGAAGTTTGGCACTGTGGGCACTCCGGAGATGGCTTATCGGCCAGGAAGGGCCACAGGCAGGTCCAGCAGAACAAGTGGCCGCAGATAAGGATCACACCGCCACGGACATAGGACTTGCAGTGTTTGCAAGTATATGCTGCCATGTCCTCGTCATTTCTTATTGCCAAACCGGCAACTTGGCCCTCCTTTGGCATAGTTTCCAGCTCTTCCTTGGCACCAATAGCAGCTTCAAGTCCAGGCTCCTCTGCCTGTTCCTGTTCTCCTGTTGTTATTTTAAATGGATTAAAATGTTTAGCAAAGTTATTTATTTACTCACCGTTAACCTGGTCCATATTTATTTTAAGGAAATCTCTCTATTTGACTCCAAATTTATCAAAAGTTAAAATAGAATGTTCCTAGCTATGCAACATGAAGTATATTTGACAGATTTCAAAAGCCTGCTTAGATCAAACTAGAAACAAATTGTCAAAGCTATCTAGATTTACTCATTTTCCGATAGTTAGTATTGCAACCTTTCGATTAAATTTTTAAATCCTGCAAAGGGTAGAAACCACATTTATTTTGTTTTCAGTGTCAGAGAAAAGTAACTGTTTGCAAATTCTACAGCAAAGTTCAAGTTTTGCATTGCACTTTATTTCATTGGACGACACGCAGATCGACATAAATAATTCATGCTTGATAAATTAAACAATATACTAAGCAGCCATTTGTTATGCATAAAGTATGCGCCATGTGCGCCAGACTGTGGCCCACCCACACACACACACACACAGGCAGCACACAAGCTCCCGCCCAGAGACAAAATGGCGGAGGCTGTCGTTGCAACAAGCGACAATTGCAACGCCTGTAAAGCCCGAAAGAGCGGAAACGGAAACGTGCATAGTGCATGCTATTTGCACAAATGTGTGCAGGAACAGGGGGAAGCTGTCTGGCCCTCAGCTGCCACCATTATCCATTGTGTCTGCGGGGGAGTTGTTGTCGTTATGAAGAGCACTTATTTATAGCCACTTGCAAGTAGTTGCCTTAAGTTCAGAGCCTCTGCAACTTGTATCTTTGATCAGGCGAATATTGAGTTTCAAGGTAAAAATAGTAATTTAAGACGAGATAGGGTTGAATTATCGTTTTTCTTGTACCTTTGCAGGGTATTATAATTACAGTGAGAAGCTTAGAACGCTGTGAAGAAGTCATTTCCGACACTATAAATCATATATCCTCTTGATCAGCATCAAAAGCCAAATCGATCTAGATATGGCCGGAGAAAAAATACATTTTTGAAATTTTTTCAAAATTTAAAAAATTTTTAAGGGGTTATATCGTTAAAATTGTTGAAAATTGATAAAAATCCGAATTTTTTTAAATTTAAAATTGAGTATACCGATTTATTAAACTACTAAAAACTAACATAAGAGTGATTTCCGAATTAATCTTTTGGTTTAGTTATGAGATTTTGAAATTTGATTTGTAAAACATATTTTCATATAAAATTATAGATAAATATTGTGTCAAAGAATGGTAATTTCCCACCGTATAAATCATATATATTCTTGATCAGCATCGACAGGCGAATATTTCTAGCTACCTCCGGCAGAAAAACAAAATTTTCAAAAAATTTGGATTTTTGAAAAAAAAAAAAAAAAAAAAAAAAAAAAAAGGGAAAGGGTTACATCGTGCTTGAGTATGCAGACTCATTAAGCTAAGAAATACTAGCATAGCAATGCTTTCCGAATTGAAATTAATGCGTTGTTCGCTTAGTTATGAGTTTATAAAAACTTTGATTTGTCGATGAAATATTGATAAAAATCGAATTCAAAGATTCTGCCGCACTTAGTTATCTTTCTTGTTATTTTTATAAATGAAACAATTTAATATATATGTTAGCACTGCCTAGAATCTATGTGCTCCCTTTTCTGAATGTAACACCCCAACTAAAGCCATCAAGTAACACACACAATGTCAGTCCCTTGGCCAAATGGGATTCGCAACTAACCTTGACAATTACTCATAATCACTGCTGGTTGCACTAACCTTTGCCCAGGGGGCGACTGCCGTTTGCCACAGTGCAAACACAACAGTAATTATGTAATGAATAAAAGCCACATTTACCGTTGCAGTTGGCAAAGTTCGAAGGGCGGAGGAGGGTTGCCTCTAAATGACATCGTGTGTCGTGTGTTGTGTGCGTGGCTCTTTTCAAATGCCTAGGCGTCAGATACTATAATTGAAATGGAAATTACTGCAGCTGGCAAGGACTGTTGGGCTGCCCTACTACACTCCCAAGAGAGTTCCAGGACTGCCAGTTTCAGTGGTGATATACATCAAGTTCAACTAAATATAGTAAATAAATGAAAAGATTACTATGAAAAGTATGACTACGATATTTTTGAATTATCTACAAGACTTTTTAGAACAATTTAATTGCTTTAAATTTGTATTTAAGTTTTGATTTGGCCAGAGAATAGCCAAACCTGACAGCACTGTGGAGTAACTCACTCGACGTCATTACGTATACGTAATTACTTATACGTCATGTGTTACATGGCAGCATAATTTAAGTTGGAATGTCTGACAAAACTCAGTAATATTTCGTAAAAGGCGAATGGGAGTAAAGTAGCATTCGTGACGAGCAATTTACTTGCGCTTTGTTGTTCAGCCGGCGGAAGATTTTAATGATGCCACCAGGGGCAGTGGCAGTGGCAGTGGCAGTGGCGCCGGCATTTGGCATTCGCCGTTCGCCAATTCCTGTAGCCATTGCTGATTTAAATTAATTACTGCTAAATATTTGCACTGGCTGCAATGCTAACGCCTCCGCCGCTGATCGTAGACACCGCTCAAATTGGCCAAAACGGATGGCAAAATGGTAAAGTTCTGAAAGTCTGGTTGGTAATCGATACACGTAACACAACGTAACACCACTGGGCTCTGAGCTAGCGTCATAACGCCAGACGTCCTGGGAACAAGGCAAACAAAATTAATTTAATTTGCACACAGCGCAGACCTTCGGAGCGTCCGTGTCCGTGTGCGAGTGGCTGGGATTACGTAGCATGGAATTTAATGCAATTTAAAACGCATCAATTTGGCGTGATGCTGCAGCGGACATTGTCATGTCCTGGCCAAAAGCAGAATGGATTTTCCCCACACGCTCACGAATGCCATTTAAGCTGCAATAATAAAGCTGAATCACAGGATGCATCTGCATCCGCTTCCCTTCGATGTTCACGATGTCGACGTCTCCTTGTGGCCGTTCGTCGCATTAACTTCTGACTCTTGCCTTGGCGTCTGCTCGGCTCTCTAGCAGACACTTACGAATACACATCCTACCATCCTCCTTCACGACACTCGCTTAATTAATGATAAATATTGCCCAGAGCGAAGCCAAGCCGCCAGGACCAGCAGGCAATCTCCCTGCAGGACCAAACTGCATCGAATGGACAGCATCGGCCCAACAAAAGCCGGATAATAACTCAATTTGGCTAACCCGATTCGCCGAAAGCGCGGTTGACCCAGGTTCATTAGTCCGCCAGAAGCCTGGTTCTTCGTTTCCGCTCTTCTCAGGTAGTAAAACTTAAAAAAATCAGCAAAGACTGTGACCTTAAAGTAGTCTGCGCCCAAATGTATAATATTATTTCAGCTGGCCAGGATGCTCGGGGACTTTTGCGCAAGTGGATGCACCAACTTTGACTTGGCCAAAGAGAGTTCATAAAATATTTCCGTGTTTGTGCCAAGTTGCAGAACGGCTGTGCAACAAATGCAAAGCTACAACCCGCATTCTGTTGCAGCTTTCTTCGCCGGCAAAAAAAAAGAAATAAACACAGACGAACTTACCAAAGATAATCCCTTATCTTAAGCAAAAGAAATAAGGACTACTTTTACATGCTTCCTGGAAAATTATACATTTTTGTCGTAAGTCAAGGGCTTTCATTATTCAAGGAAATCTCTTTATTTAACTAAGAGTTTAAAGTTAAAATGGAATGTTCCTAATTAAAAGTGAAAGCTTTGACATATTTTAAAAATATCCTGAAATGTTTTCATTAGTAAAACCATTTATTTTTTTGGTTTTTGATTTTTGTTTTATTCATATCAAGTTATCTCAGGCCGAAGGCCTATGACAAAAAACTTTCAGAGATTGACACTTGCCGCTTGAATGATTGATGATTGCTTTGTACTCCCGTTGCACTTTAGTGACTGGGATTAAATTTAGCCCTACACTTGGCATAATGCCAGCGGCAATTAGACGAAAGCTGTTGCCACCCGTCTATCCACGGCTCATAAATTGCAACCCACACACACCCTCATGTTAGGGGTCTTGACAGCCCAAAAAAAAAAAAAAAAAACAAATTTGAGGAAAATCTATGACTGAAACGCGAAGGAAGCGGGGTCGCATTCACCAGATGTGATGCTGCATATGGCGGCATAATTTATGCGAATACTGAACCGAGGAGCGGTGCAGCGATGAATGGAAACTTTGCGGTCCGGAGCCGCTGTTGCATTTAAATTCTGACAATTGTTTGCGCTGTTCTCGCAGCACGTCTACTGCATTGTTTAATCCCGATTTTTCGACATCCAATGGGGACTGGCAGCCAGCAGAGCGTGCTTGTTAATTGACCCACATTTGTGATCGGAGTACATAATTAAAAGAAAATAAAGCGCCGGCAGGACAAAACAAACGCACAGGCAGACAAGCCCGTGTACATATGTACATACACTCCGGCAATGATAATATTAATAAAAGTGAAGCATCACAGCGGAATTACACACTTATCCAATATTAAATAAAGGTTGATTGAGTGTGCTGATGGAGATGCGAAATACCCTGTTGGCATTAAAGGTAAGCCAAACATACAGAACAACTACATATGTGTTTGAAGGGGTATTAAGTTGGTGCTGAAACTAAGAGTGTTGCGCTGTCACATTTTATTTGACAAGCAAAGGGAAAATAATGCATATTAATTGCGACTTTTTCACATTTTACCAACTGCCGACATTTATCAGGCATTAATAATTACGTGTTAATACGTGAAATATGATTAAATTTTTATCAGTTTACATGAATCACTTTCGCACGTTTGCGTGCGAACAAGGCCGTTTTATTGGCTTCATTTGGCCAAGGGGATTGTGGACCGGGGACCGGGGACCACAAACGAAACTGACATTGGCCCAATCGCAATTACAATCGCAATGCCTGTGGTTCTGCGTCATTTGGCATCCTGTATCCCAGTGTCCATTTTGCATTGCCCGCCACTTCGTTGCGGGCGTAATACACTGCGTATACGCAATGGCGACTTTGTACTTCGGTGGCGTATACGCAATAAAATGCGAAAAAGGAGTGTAACCATTCCAAATCGGATGGGACAACCGTCTGCGCTGGCCATTAAATGCAACAATAAATTCGACAGCTCAGTACCCAGTACCCAGTCGCCCCAGTCCGTTGGCATGCCCGAAATTTAATTAGTTGGCATTTAACATTAAACATTTCCAGTGGCGCCGCGGCTGTCATTCTGCTTTGTTTTCGTTTTGCTTTTTATGTTATTTTTCAGTTAATTAAACGCACGCAAACATTTCGCCCCATTCTAAATTGTGCGCAATTAAATTTGGAATTACTTTCAACTGAGTATTTGGCATTGCCTTTGGCTCGCTGGCAGCGGCGCGGCAATAACTTAACTGGAAATTTTATTGTAAGCCCCTGCCTTGCCAACTGTCACTTTTGATGGGCACCCATTGGAGCGTAATTAGGCTACAGGACAGCCCCTCGCCTCCTCCACATTTAACTTTAACTTTGCCTTTTGTTGGAAGGCCTTTAAGTTTGCTGTTTAACTTCGTTTTCGTCTGGCGCTGCAAATTGCTCTGTCTGCCGGTTTCATTATGCAAAATGCAATAGTACACATGCCGATGTGTCTTCCTTATGAGTTTCCCATCTCCGACTTGTCCTGGGATTTCCTTTTCTTTCTGGGTGAGCAGGTGCATTCAGGAGCATTCACACATCAACTGCATCCGTCTCTGATGGCTGAAGGTTACTCTACAAAAGGGAAGCGTGATTCCATTGAAAACGAAATTCTGGCTTTAATGATTTCTTAGAAAAGCTAGCTTATGCTTAAGTATGACATATGTTATATTTGAAAAATACATAAAGAGTATGCAAGTTTGATAAATTTCCCTACTGTGCTAAAGCCTCAGGGTATTAATGTTTTCGACACAAGACACCTTGAAATTTTTTTGTATCACCTGCAAGGAGAGCACACAGACAGACTCTTTTTTTGTTCAGAAAAGCACCGAGGGCAAGGAGTTCGTGTCTGTCTGTGCCAAACGATGAAGGAGTATAATATTTATATTATTGCCACTGCGGCGGCATATTGCAGCGACATGAAAGTGGGTCTTAGACTTCTACTACTTTAGGTTGCTTTCTTTTCGACTTTGTTATCTTGACTATAACCAACACCAGGGCAAGGAGCAGTATCACGATGCAGAAGATCGACAGGATGAGGGAAATCGTTCTACCGACAACCGCCATGCTTGTAAACAGAAGACGCAAGTCCGTGCAGACAGTCAGTCTATCGTATGATATCTTCTTCTGAAAAAAGAAAGTGGACACGCCGGCGCTGACTATCATGAACCCCAGCATGGTGGCAAGCTGAGAAGAGGCCACATTAAAGACAAAGTCGGAGGCGCCTCCACGGTTAAAGCCACACCCACCACGTATCGCATTTCCTGGCGAGAACGATAGTAGTTCGAATGATACATCCAGGTGCTTAGGGCGTAAATCACACAGATATAGGCGTTGCTCACACAGACGACCTGGTGGGCCACCTGCTCATAACTGGCATGGAAATGCACGATGTTCGCAAAGTAGGAGGCATTCAGCACATTGAGCATCTGCGGGCGGAAGTGATGGAGGTTCACAGGCTCAGAATTAGGTAGCCAGGTGGCACTTACTGCCGAAAACAAAAGCAATACCGCTAGGATTTCCTTTCGGGAGAGAGTCATAATGGAGAGCTTTAACTGGAAATTTTCAAATAATAAACATAAAGTGACGCTGAATTCATGGAAACAGTAAATGGTTTCAAACAAAACCTACAGCGAATATTACATCTTATCAGTTTAAAAGAAACTAAAGCTTGAAAAATCTCCCACTAAACGTTCTAAGCTAATCAATAAACCATGTTTAATGTGATTCATTATTTCTTTGTCATTTCTATATAATTTAAGTTTAGAATCTATATATATAAAAATGCTCTGTTCGTGTCTACATCCTTCATAGACTCGAAAAGTTCTGAACCGTTTAAGCCCAAATTTTTACACAACATGCGTTTAGGTTCCAGCTCGGTTATTGACTACTTTTGATGTTGATAGCTTATCTGCGGTTGCGAATATATCTATTTTTTTAGCGTTTCCCCGTGCCCCTACTACTGCGCCCTCTACAGGCAAGTCAAAGCATTTCCTGTCAAACATTAAAAACATATTGAAAGAAGAAATTGGAGATACAAATTTTATTTTTTGTTCAGGTTCAGTAAGAAACGAAGTCATGCCACCAAAAAAGTCGAGATTGGGTCGTTGTATTCGCAATACAGAAGCAAAAAGACGTAAGATTACGAATATGACTGACGAAGAACGGGCCTCCTTCCGAGAGACTGAGCGGCTGAGAGCAATGCATGGGAACGCGTTAATATTGCTCGCAGGGGATTTCAGACAAACGTTGCCTGTGATTTCCCGATCGACACCAGCTGACGAGATAAATGCTTGCCTGAAATATTCTATATTGTGGAAACATGTACGTACATTACAGTTGAAGACGAATATGCGTGTCCAGTTACAGAACGATGACTCAGCCGACGTATTCTCACGACAGCTACTGGACATTGGGAACGGAAAGCTGTCAGTCAATGAGACGTCGAGAAAAATAGTATTGCCCGGGAATTTCTGTAATTTAGTTACATAGAAGGAAGAACTTATCCAAAAAGTGTTCCCCAATATCCGAATAAATTATAGGAATCACGATTGGCTCAGTGGACGAGCGATTCTCGCTGCCAAGAACAAAGATGTCTACCAGCTCAATCATGTAATCCAAAAAAGCATAGAAACTGACGAAATTACATATAAGTCGATAGATACCGTTGTGGAGGCAGATGAAGCAGTTAATTACCCTACCGAATTTCTAAACTCACTTGATCTGCCTGGAATGCCACAACACATATTGAAATTAAAAATAGGTGTGCCGATTATCATGCTCCGGAATATAAAACAGCCGAAACTCTGCAACGGTACGCGACTCGCAGTCAAGAAATTGATGAACAACATAGTAGAAGCAACGATCATAACTGGTCCTTTCAAAGGTGAAGATGTCCTCATTCCTAAGATTCCTATGATCCCGACAGATACACCGTTCCAGTTCAAGAGATTGCAGTTTCCCATTCGTTTGGCGTTTGCAATGACCATAAATAAAGCTCAAGGTCAATCTCTGGAGTTGTGTGGTCTGGATTTGGATGAAGATTGTTTTTCACACGGACAATTATATGTTGCGTGTTCACGAGTCGGAAAACCAAAAAGTCTTTATATTTACGCGGAGAATGGAGAAACAAAGAATATTGTATACCAACAAGTATTACAGAATTAAATTAATTTGAAAATGATTATTTTTTGTTTGACTTATTTCTTATGCGTTCAACCACAATATGCCACAGAGAAACGTGGCAGTCCATTTGGAGAATGGTCAACGTGTCTATTTCACAGAAAAAAATGTGCAAGAAAGAGTCTTGAATCGGCCAGCGACAACTCTGACTGCCTTCTTCACCTTATGCCAGGAAGATGATTTTGCCAGAACCTTGATGTATTCAGAAGTGCCCTCTTAACCATAATATGCCACAGAGAAACGTGGCAGGGTACAGCTAGTTTTATATAACAAGGAAATCATTCTTATCTTTTGCTATGGGTATTTGCTGTCTTTTCTCTTATGCTTCTTGTGGATTCGAGAATGGTAAGCAACTGGGAGTGGACTGCATACAAGCTAAAGTACAACAAGCACTACCCGCCGGAGCACGACTATATCCACCAATGGCGTTACAGCGCAGTTGCCGAAGTTGTTCGCAGGAACCACAGAGAGTACGCTGAGGGCAGGGTGGCCTACTTGCTGAATATCAACGAATTCTCCGATACCGATCGGAGTGCACTTTATGCCAATCCACCCTCGATCCCAGCAGAATCAACCATGGACCCCGCGCCGAAGCCAGCCAACTACAAATACTACCATATCGCTAAGAAGACCGGAAGGCGAGTGGCAATGTCATTCTCGAACCAGATGAAAAAAAGATGGCTGAAGTGGTCTACAACATTGGACCTGTGACAGTGTCCCTGGATCATCTTTACCCCGAATTTTATGAGTATTCCCAAGGCATCTTAAGCATACCGGATTGCAGAAATGGGAAGGGATTTCTTAAACACTCGATGCTCGTAGTGGGTTTTGGAACAGATCCGGTGGGACGTGACTACTGGCTGATCAAGAATTCCTTTGGCGAGAAATGGGGCGAAAACGGATATGTGAGACTTGCTCGCAACGCTGGCAATATGTGTGGTGTCGCCACTTTTGCCCAATATCCAGTTTTCTAATTGATTTGTAAAGATTTTCCATGTTACAAAAATAAATAAAAAACAAAAAAGGGAAGCATACTTCGAGAAGCCCTGAAGTTATCTATAGGATCTTGGGTTCGAGTCTGAAATCGATCATAATTAAGCCAAAGGTTCATTAATTTCGATTCGAATAGCTTTTTGGTGTTACATATAATCAGGTTAACAAATGCATCATGAGTTAAAATTTTGAAAAATTTACATGTTTGAAAAAGCTTTAAACATTTATTTTTCTACCAGGCATTGCTAGATAATTTCAGCTGTTGATGCTGATCAAGAATTTATATGATTTATAGGGTCGGAAATGACTCTTTCATTGTGTTGCAAGCCTCTCACTTAAATTATAATTCCCTGCAAGTGTATAACAACACTTCAAATTAAAATAATATAATATAAGGGCATTCAGAAACTAAATGTTGTTTGTTTATATTATTAAAAAAACTTATTATGCCCTGGATTTTTATACCCTTGCAGGGTATTATAATTTCAGTCAGAACTTTGCAACGCACTAAAGGAGGCACCTCCGACTATATTCTTGATCAGGATCAACAGCCGAGTCAATCTAGCCATGTCCGTCTGTCCGTCTGTCCGTCTGTCCGTTTCTAGTCTCTCAGTTTTGAAGCTATCTGAATGAAACTTTGTAGTTAGTCTTCTATATACTCTCACTCGTATATATGTCGGAATGGGCCGGATCGGACGACTATATCATATAGCTGCCATAGGAATGATCGGAAATTTTTACAAAAAACATACAATTTTCAGTTTTCAACAGAATGTAAGCAAATTTGAGATAAAGCTATTTTATAGTACATTTATGCAAAATTGTATGAATATCGGAAATTAACACAATTAAAAATTATAACTTTTTTCGTTTTCAACAGATTTTTATCTAATTTGAGGTATAGCCATTTTATATTAGTCTGAAATTTTGTGTCAACTTTAATGAAAATCAGACGATTATATCATATAGGTGCCATACAAACGATCTTTAGATGTAGAGGAAAAAAGCAAATCTGTGAATGTAAAACTGTTAATATAATTTGTATAGGTGAATGAAATTAAAGCAGGTATTACTTCATTGTTTTTAAACATAAATATATATAATTTATATTTTATGGATTTCCTAGTCATTGAATCTCTAGATGCAACGGTATACATATATACTTCGGCGTGCCGAAGTTAGCTTCCTTTTTTGTTTGTTTTTATGTTTATATATGTTTATATGTTTTTATATTTTATAATATATTTTATAAAAACCAATTTCAAATCTCTTATCTGGGTCTTCGCCTTGACTTAAAGATTCACGGAAATGCCATATGCAAACCGTTATCAGGCGCTATCATTTTGGTTTTGAAAGAATTTCTTTTGAACCATAATGTTTTTTCGTGGAAGTAGTTTAATTTGATAAGGACAGAGATCAATGGGATCAAACTCACTCATGCATTTAAAGCAGAAGATGGGCTGTGCTGTGATGCTTCAGTCGGTTTCTAAAAAGGCGTCGGGCCGGTTTTATTTTCGCTATGGGTTCCCTTCGTGTGGTGGCATTTTCTGCATTATTCCTTCTCCTCCTTGTGGACTTGGAAGCTGCGTTAATTGGCGAGAAGCAGTGGACTACTTACAAAAGGCAGTTTAACAAGACCTATGCACCAGAGCATGACTACTATCATAGGTGGATTTTCAGCGCAGTTGACAAATTAGTTCGAAAGAACAACATAGAGTACGCTCAGGGCAAGGTTGCCTACTTTCTGAAGGTCAACGAATACTCCGATACCGATCGGAGTGCAGTTTATGCCAATCCACCCTCGATGCCAGCAGAATCCATTCAGGGCACAGGGTCCAAGCCAGCCAACTACAAATACTACCATGAGATACAAGGTGGCATTGACTGGCGTGAATCTGGCTTCGTCTCCCCAGTTCGTCATCAGGGCGAATGCAATAGCTGCTGGGCCTTCTCCACCGCTGGACTCTTGGAGACTCATATGGCTAAGAAGACCGGAAGGCGGGTGGCAATGTCCCCGAAGCATCTACTGGACTGCGTTGAAAAGAACGGCGGGTGTGATGGCGGCTGGGTGAGCCACGCCATCAACTATACCCGGGATAATGGCATAAGCTCATGGGAATCTTATTCTCCGTACAAACCTCAAAATGACGTGTGTGTCTATAATCCAAGAGGGAACCAGGTTTTACCAAGGGGTTATGTCATTCTCGAACCAAATGAAAAAAAGATGGCTGAAGTGGTCTACAACATTGGACCAGTGACAGTGTCCCTGGATCATCTTTACACAGAATTTTATGAGTATTCCCGTGGCATCTTAAGCATACCGGATTGCAGAAACGGGAAGGGATTTCTTAAACACTCAATGCTTGTTGTGGGCTTCGGAACAGACCCTGAGGGACGTGACTACTGGCTGATCAAGAACTCCTTTGGCGAGAAATGGGGTGAAAACGGATATGTGAGACTTGCTCGCAACGCTGGCAATATGTGCGGCGTGGCCTCTCTGCCCCAATATCCGGTTTTTTAAGAAATTTTTAATTAATATTTTTCGAATGCTAACATTGGTGCATGTTTCAAATTTAAATACTTTGTGAAGTTCTTTCGTAAAATATATATAAATAATGCATTTAATGAAATCATCGATTGTTCCCAGAACCAAGAGTCGTGGAGCAGGGGAACGGGGATTCTGGGAAGCGGTTCACAGTGATAACCTTCCGATGATAAGTAGCTCGCTTACCGTTCGGCCACGGCAGCTTGTTGAGCTAGTCAAGGTGGCAGTTAACTTTTGTAAGTCGCCGTAAGTCGGTCTCCTCAATTCGAAATGAGTTCTTTTCGTACGCTCGTCCTTGTTGTCCTTACCATCCTTCATCTTTTGGACTTGGGAGCTGCCTTGGTCAGTGACGCAGAGTGGGCTGCGTACAAGAGCAAGTACAATAAACATTACACCTTCGAAGACAAACATCATCGTGAGCTGTACAACAAGAAGGTGGAGGCGGTGCAAAGTCACAACCTCAAGTACGAAAATGGTCAGGTTGGATATTTTATGAAGTTGAACGAGTTCTCCGACACCGATCAAAAAGTGCTCTACACTTATCGCTCATCGATGCCGCCGCCCGTCGAATCCGAGAACGATTTGGATGTCGCATCGAATGGCCCCTTGAATTACAAGAGCTACGATGAGATAACAGGTGGGATTGACTGGCGCCAATACGGCTACATCTCCCCGGTTGGAAATCAGGGCACCGAGTGTCTCAGTTGCTGGGCCTTCTCCACCTCGGGGGTCCTGGAGGCGCATCTTGCCAAGAAGAGCGGTCGCCTGGTGGCGATGTCCCAAAAGCACCTGGTGGACTGTGTGCCAACTCCCAACAACGGATGCTACGGCGGCTGGGTGAGCGTGGGCTTCAACTACACCAGAGATCATGGCATCGCGCCCTTAGAGTCCTATCCATCCTACGAACCCAAGACCGACAACTGTCGATACATCTCCAGGAGCAGCAAGAGAGGAGCTAAGAGCTATATTACCCTCAAATTTGGGGACGAAAAGGAGTTGGCCGAAGTGGTCTACAACATTGGACCTGTTGCCATATCCATTAATCACCTCTATCAAGAATTTGAAGAGTATGGCGGTGGTGTTTTGAATATAAAAAATTGCACAACAGACAGGCTGAGTCTGACACATTCCATGCTGGTCGTGGGCTTTGGAACAGATCCCACTAGGGGTGACTACTGGCTGATCAAGAACTCTCAAGGCACATCCTGGGGCGAGGACGGATATTTGAGACTAGCACGCAACGCCGGCAATATGTGTGGTGTGGCTTCTTTGGCCCAGTATCCTATTGTTTATGATTACAAATAGATATTGAAATTATATATAAACAAAGAAATAAATATACATTTTGTAAATATTTATATTTCTATGAAAAAAGTGAAATTCTACATGTATTGTTCTATTTTGTTTACGAGCAGCTGTCTGTGATTCAATTTCTAAGAGTTCAACGAGTGCTGCTACGGAATTGTGCGATAATGGTATAATTATAAATAAATTCTATAGAAACAATATATGCTGCCCTGTCGACTCGCTCACTTGATCGATTGCCGCACCTTTTTGCTTTCGCTGGAGCTTCTTGGGAGCTAGGTCGTGTCTATCGCCTGGCTTTCCCCTCCTAGATTGCCGGCCTATTTGACGAGAGGAAAATCATTGAGAAACAAATTGAAATTTGCACCCACTGGGAAGCTTATCTGCGCTGTGCAGGCCACTCACTTGCACCACACCCCGGGCCATGCAGATAGCAGCGTTAGCAGGCAGCAGGCAGCAGGCAGCCGGCGCTAATTCATCAACAGTAAAGGCAATTTAGATACTCATCTAACCGGATATCGACAGCCAGGCAGCCGGCAGGAGGCAGCCATGTAAGCAGATACCCTTGTCCCGGCTCCCGCTTCAAGGACTCCAACCCATCCACTCGGGGGGCTGTGCGCATCGGCGAGCGTCCTGCAGACAGGGTTTCATAAAATATTGATGGACGTGGAGTTGGCAGCGCTACTCGCTTCCTGTTCGTGTCTGTCGCAGCCATAAATAATTTGCTGTAAATGCAATCGTGGGGTTACATGGGCCATATCGCTTGGCGGGTCGGTGGGTCGATGGGTCGGTGGTTCCCGGTAGGTGTGGAATGTGGGAATGCGGGATTCTGGGATGTGGGTTGGTGGCTGATGTCCTGGGGTGGTGCGATTGCCATTAGCAAGGCGCACGGTGCGAAAGTGTTTCGTATGAATTATTCGCTGGCAGCCAATTTGGAGTCACGTTTGCCGGCACAATTGAAACTGAACACCGACCATCGAACCACAGGCCATGATGATGATGATGATGATAATGCTACTCCAGTGGTGCCATTTAAGCATTACGAAAAGTAAACATAGAAAATTTTTTATTTAAAAATTTGTTGGTAAAATACAAACCTTTTTACTTTTTGTTCTCCTTTTTATTTAATATTTAATTAATTCAATTCGGAAAGCTTTTTTGGTGCTACATATAATAAGATTAACAAATGGGTTGAGAGTTTTAAAATTTAAAAAAATTAACATTTTTGGAAAATGCCTTAAACATTTATTTTTCTACCAGATATTGCTAGATTGATTTAGCTGTTGACCAAGAACATATTTGATTTATAGGATCGAAAATGACTCCTCCATTGTGTTGCACGCTTCTGACTAAAATTATAGTTCTCTGGAAGTGTATATAAACACTTCAAATTAAAATCTTCTAATATAAGTGGTTAATTTGATAAGGAGAGAGATCAATGGGATCAAACTCAATCACGCATTAACAGCAGAAGATTGTGATGTGTTTTGATTTGATGCTTTCAGTCGGTTTCTAAAAAAGCGTCGGGCCGGTTTAATCTTCGCAATGGGTTCCCTTCGTCTGGTGGCATTTTCTGCATTATTCTTTCTGCTCCTCGTGGATAGGATGCTTTGTTAATTAGCAAGAAGCTGCCTAACATGACCCATATAACATATATGATATGGACTACTTTTATAGGTGGATTTCCCGCTTAAAAAAATTAATATTTACGAGACATGGCTTTATCGGTTCAGCTATTCATGCTGGTCAAGAATATATATGATTTAAAGGGTCGGAGGTTATTCCTTCACATCTTTACAAGCTTCTAACTGAAATTATAATACTCTTAAAGGGTATACAAAAAATAAAATATAATAAATAGATATAATTTTGTTTGTTTTGCTTTTTATTGTTTATCGATTAAAGGCTAAAAAACTTGTTACGTATTAGTTGAATTTCCCCTCTGAGCCCAGCTAGGTTTGGCTCGAAATTTGCCCCAAGGACAACACTATGATACAGCCCTCGCCGCCTGTCGAAATACCGTAATTTGTTATGTCTGCCACTGTAGCCGGCCATGTCTATCTTCGGGCCGGGGCTGCTTTTTAATAGCCATTCTCCCGCTGGCCGACTGTTGCTTGGCGGTTGTTGTGCCTTTATCGCTGGAGTGCCTCCTCGCCCGCCGGCCGGGTAATGTGTATTTAATGACGCCATCTCATGTACAATGCCCGTATCCGGACGGCCGTGATCCTGGATCCTGGCCTTGCCCACGGCACCCACCGGCACCGGTTGTAGTAGTCCTCCGGCTCCTAATGTCCAGTGACCGCAGCCATCTGCAGGATATGGCCCCAGCACCCCGCTTACATACTACGGATGGTTGCCAATAAAGCAGGGCCTGTGCACGTTGGCAGGCATTTCAATTTTGTTCCTGCCGCGTTTTTCAATATTTTTTTTAAACGGCCGCCATAAAACGTGAGCGGTAATGTGCGGACAAGGCAGTTTAATTGCGCCCCTGCCCCAAAGGCAATCAGCTCCTGCTTGTCTCAGATTATGATGGGGGATAGCTCTGGATGTGTATAAACAATAATTGAATTTAAGTCCACTCCAAATAAACAATTGGGGGGGAAGGCAAAACAATTGGGCACTAAAGGTTAATGTGCACTGGAAAACTGATAATCCAGATAGAACTGGGGAACTTTTTCGGGGAGACGCATGACTAATATATGACAAAAAATATTTGTTTTAAGCATAATTAATGTTTTAGAAGCAAGTCTGAGTTCCGTAAATTCCGAGAACGAAGATTACTAAAGGGGTCGTAATAAACAAAACTGTATTAACAACTAGCTGCCTTTGTCTTTTAACAAGAGCAATCTCAAATTACCAGAAGGTCTAATATAATGTATAAGCATTTCTATATAATCCTATTATACTTCTAAACCCCTTCATTCGTTCAGTGAAAATTCTGCAATTGTTCTGCATCAGCATATGAAATAATATGACCATGACTAATTAATTCGAACCACTTGCCTCAATATGAAGCTTAGGATTTGCTGTTGTTTAAGTAATAACAATTCTGATAAGAGGGGTTAATAAGTGCCAAGCGCGTTCAAGTGCTCAGAGCTGAACGGCACTTCCTCTCAAACAATTGCACCTAATTGCCGGAGCTTCAGCTTAGTTGCGCATTCAGTGCTAACCACCCCTCCACCTAGTTAACCCAACCGATATCTCGATATAGGAGATATATATATATATAGAGAAAGCAACCACTCCCAATGCAATCTCGAACCCGTGTTCAATATAATTTTCATTCAGTTTGCAGTGCAGCGCAGCAAAGAGAATATGATAAGAAGGAGGAGGGCAGAGCATTTGCATAAAGCTTTTAACCTAACGATGCGACATTTGCTTTTTATGTGATTCATGGCTACACCCACTCTCTTTTTTATACATTTTCCGTACTCTCCGTTTTCCCGCTTTCCCACTTTCCCAGCTACGATTGCAGCAACAGCGACCAACTTCCGCACAATTATACAGCAATTTTTAACACAACAATCGCTTGGATTGCATGGCCAGAAGCTAGGGTCTTCGATTCCATCGACATTGACTTGGTCGGCTTGCTTAAGCAGATTGAAACAATCTCCGGAGTGGGTAAGAGCCAGCACTTTGCTCACAATGGCTGACGAGGAGTTTTTCCCCCTGACTTTTAACTATCGAAATGGCTGACTCGGCTGTTATTATTATTATTATTCTCCGGCGTCTGCCTGCAACTGTCAGTTGGGTAATTTATAATGAAGTTTCCTTATTGACAGTGGCAGAAGCCCCTGCCAAATTCCAGTTTCGGATTCCGATTCGCACTTCCGCTGCAGCGATTCTTGTGCAGCTTGGCATAAATTATAGATCCTGGATATATCGCCATAAATTGCTTGTCAAGACGAGAGTCGACAGGCAGCTAACTAAGACGCTGCTGGCTGACTGGATGGCAAACAAATAACAATCAAAATCACTTTTCGACCCCAAGTCGATTTATATGCGAAATCTCGGAACTGGCTGTGGCAGTGGCAGTGAGGCCTTAATCGCTGGGGCCAGCCGCATCATGAGATCGTCAATCGTTTTGATTTATTGCCGTTTTATTTGCGCATATCCTTATTTTGCTGTGGCCCCACAACTTGCGGCTGAGGCTATTTTATTGTTCGATAACTTATCAGGCTGCGGGCAAGGCAAACAGGCAGCAGCAGCCCCAGAAGATGGCAAATATCATAATTTTCTCAGGACACGCTGGCTTGTGTTTGCTTTCGTCCTCCTGTCACAATGCCGTGCAGGGCATAAATCTAAATTAAATGCCCTTTTGAGCGGCTCCCAAGGAGGAATGGAGGCGCAGAAAGAAAATGTTTATATTCAGCACATTGTCACTTGTTGTGGCCACTTTTCCTGGACTCGGGACTGAGACTCCGGATCCGCTCAGGAAACCGCTGCTCAGTAGCCCGGGCAAATAAATATTAATCATTGTGTAATAATTTTCTGCTGTCAGCTAAATTCAAGCAAAGTATTCATAATCCACAAGTAAGAACCGCTTTTGACAAATCGTTTTTGCGGGGCCACTCGCATAAATATTTATATTTATATTTATATTTATATTTATATTCCGCGTTGGCCGCCAGTTAAAATGCTTTTAAAGTTCCACGAACTGTTGATTTGATTTCTGGGGTCCAGCCAGTATTTGCCATTTTCCATTTCGTTTGTTATTTATTTCCACAGATTTTTTTTTTTTTTTGCAACTGTAAATCAGTTGGATATCCTTTGATGTGCTCGGGACCTGAGAAACGAGATTGCAATAATCAAAATGTAATAAACGGGCCTTCTTCACACATCCTCTCTTAGCTCTCAGCTCCTCGCTCGCAACTCCTTGGGTCAAAGAGAAATGTTGTTTATGCATGGGTCCTTTGGACGTGATTGCGAGTGTGTGTGTGTTGGTTTGCGGAGAGCTCCTCATTTTGTCCTTTGTGCGGCTCTTGGCATTCGATGCACGTAACGCATTGTTTGAATTTCATGGCGACTTTATGAGTTTTGTAATCAGGTTTGTGAGCAAACAGACCCAAACACACAGGCGAACACACGCACTCGCACCCCCACATGTCGTTGCCGTGTTAACCTGCACATAAATATTGTTTCTGGTCGTGGGCCGTGGGTCGTGGAGTCCTGGAGTCCTGGCATCCTGGATTTTGGGCGTGTTGACAAGCCGACCGCCCGTTAATGCTAATGAAACCCAAAGTTTCGGTGCCCCCTCAACTCAACTCCTCGCCTATTAAGCCATTTTGTGGTCTACAAAATCCACTTAAAACGTCTGGCGGCAACAAAAATATTTTATTGCATACTTTTATGCGCAGACATTACCTGCACAGCACCCACACCTCGCTCGTCCCTCTCTGTGTGCCATCGGTAAAAATGCTCAACAATGTGATTTATACACGCTGGAAGCACTTAAAACTAGACACACTTTCACAATAGACTGTCCACGCCTCCGAAAAAACGCCCCCTTTGTTGTGTTTGCTGGCACTTTGGAGCTCTTCCAAAGTTTTGAGCTTAGTCAGCACACAGAGAGAAAATCATTTGTAATCAATCTAATAACTATAAGATCTAAAGTTCAATAGTATTGCAGTAAACAAGTCTTGATTTACTTCAAAATAATACTAAAAACAGTGAAAAGTTTAATTTATTCGATTGATTTAATCCAGAAACGCAATGAAATCAAACTAACTTTTTACATTTTGTCATTTTTAATATATATTTTAGTATATATTAATGTATTCTTTTGAGCAAAAGTTGCTTGATATTTTCCTAGGTGCATTGCCATTGTCTGAAAGCCAAACAAAGGCCGCTCTGCAGCTGATGACCAGAAATTAACTAAGCAGCAGTGCCAACAACAATGTTGCCAAGCCCGAAACAATGAGGAAGACGAAGACTCAAAGGCCACCTTCCCCCAACTACTATAGCAAACTCTCCCACCTCCCACCTCCGGTTTGCATGTCTGGCTATCGGCTGTCCACTCCGGAGCATTAAATAAATATTTGCCATGCTCTGCAGGAATTTTGAGACCCCAATCCTTGGGAAAACATCCCTGGCTGTCTGAGAAAGAAAAAAATATTCTAAATATCATATCATCAGCATTTTTCGATAGAGTCGCCCTGGACACGGGGGTATGGGATCGTCCAGTGTTTACCATTTATTTTTTGATTTGGGTATTTAAGGTGTGGATGAATGTGCCAAAGGCGGGCGTGCGTGTCCCATGTCGGGTGGGGTGTGGGAGTGTGTGTGTATTTGTGGTTGCCACTGTGTGTGTGGTTGTGTAGGCAGCGGAGTGTTGACAACTTAAGTGGAATTTTGCTTGCTCGAGCGTTGCAGGCATTGGCTTTTATCAGATGACATTAATATTGAACGAAGGCTGGTTAATAGTTGGGGTGAAAAGAGATTATTGGTATGTAGATAAATATATTTTAAGATGCAAGATATAAGGTAAAACTGAAATATATAAGGGACGAGGAACTCATTCCTTTAAAAAGTAAAAAATGACTCCTTTACACTTCTGATAGCACCCTGCAATGATATAATAAACAAATATTATTTTCAGCTATTCAAAGCAATATTTAGTGGCTGCAAAACTAATTAAACAGAAGCCGCTAGAGCACCTATGTCTTCTTTCGCACATGATGATCATACAATATGATAAATCCGTACAAATCAGACTTGATCTGATAGCGTGTTACATTGGCACTAAAAGGATTCTTCTTGGTGGTCACCGGTATGTTCTTATGATCACCCTTATGGGTGAACATAAGGCCATATTCAGCATGAGCCACCACCGTGTAATTATCGTTGTCATTCGTATAGATCCTTCTGGTTCGCCAGTCGTAGTACACGATATCGGTCTGCTGAGGTCGCAACAATTTCCGCTCCTCGAAGACTGCTCTCCAGTCAACCGCGTTTGGTCCTTTAAACCGAAAGTTACGCAGACTGGACTCGAAGTCTATGTAGCCCGATTTGGCGAAACCGCTTTTACCGCTAATCTCCAGAAATATAATGGTCTACGGGGCATAGATTTGTACTATAAAGCAGTTTAAAGTTCCCACCGCACACTCACGGAGATCTCCTGCTGGATATTAAGATGTTCCCGTTCGGCCAAGGCCCGAAGAGCCTGATCGGTTCCTTTGAAATACAAACTATACTCTACAATAGCTGAAACTGTAGGATTCAGCAGCTGTTCCACTTGCTTCTTTGCATTATGGAACTCATCCTCTTCGTAGAAGGTGCGATGCTCCCGATACCCAAGTTTCGCAAGAGTTGTGACTGTTTTGTGGCCGGGAAGGTACCGGAAGTCCTCGATAATCGTGAAGGAGCGTACATACTCCTGGTAGTCCCTGAAATTGGCAACGCTAAAGTCCGTCATGTCTCTGTGTGCGAAAACTATTCAGTGTTCTGAAATTGTTCTCGCTTCGTGTGTGTCGTGTTTGATTGGCTAAGCAGTACTGTGAAGCAAAATGTTTGAGTTGAATATTGAGGCAAACTATATTTTTCGATTTTAAATTCATAATATTAATTATTTTTACCACTAAAGAGTGTGTATTCGGTTCAGAGTTCGGTCTGCCCGGCACGTTTTGGCCTTCACCGCAAATATTGAAATAGTTTGAATAATCCGTTGCGTTATTATGTTGATTTTGTGGAATTTTTTTAATATATATCCAGCACTCTTCGTGGCGACTTTCATTTGGCGCATTATCCAAATACCGGAACAGGCGGCATATATGCATTTATTCATTTATTTTATATATCCCACAAGGCGTGATGAAACGAGGGTTTTCGTGTCCGAAAAATTCCGCACACACAGAGGACATGTTCATTTCCTTATGTGGTGACGATCCAAGTTGAGAATTTTGTGGAAATATTAAATCCATTTCCCCACACACACATTCCAAATACCGATGGGAGTGTGTGTGTGTGTTCACTAACCTGCCGAACCGCCATTTAAATTTATCAACACTTTGGCCAATGACGGCATTTCCGCTTGGGCACACGCACACATAAACAGGCGGACGGCTGACATAACAATAGCAGAAATGGCCGAAGCGTGCTCAACTTCTGAATTCGAAATAATTAACTTGAATGCTAATTAGTTGAATTATCAATAGGCGGCATAATATAGCCGCCACGACTATTTATTGACATTAAATCGACACGAACACACACATGGGGCCGTGGGGGCGTGGCATGCGATGTTTATGGCCCAATGGGCTCTGGCAGCGATAACTAAAATGTGTTTTAGCCGCATAAATCCTCATTCAGGCAATGGTGGGCTTTGGCTTCAGCTGCTGGCATTTAAATATATATCAAGTGGCAGCCCAGATACTCACTATTATTTACATGGACCGCCATCAACAACTGCAATATCAGCAAGTTCTTGGCGTGTGTAATTTAAGGCCTCGACATAAATCATCAGGACACCCGCCACACACACATACACACACACTCGCCCAGCCACAGACAATTTTGTAAAACACTCAGAGTGTGGTCTCTTCTCCTCCTGGCTGACTTGGCATGTGTTGAATAAATTTATTGTTGTGCATAATGCTGGCCAAGATCGCAAGCGTAAAAAATTGCCATTATGAATATGAAGTGCACTGCATTTAAGGAGCAGCAACTTGCGACTTGCAACTTGCATGCCTGCACTCATGCAGGACGACTCCTCGTACGCGCGAGAGTGTGAATGATGGCGGCGTTTAAGGACACGATGCGTCGTCTCACCAGTCGCCAGTCTCAGCTCGTAATTATGAATATTAATTGCAGTGTAAGCGCACAAAATTGCCAACCGCAGGCTTGGGGGGCGTGGCCCCAGTGGAGCTATGCAAATATACGCAAAACTAATGGCGCAAAAACGGAGTCTATGAATAAATCACAGAAGATTAAGTTCCCCAAAACGATGTGAAAAGGGATAAGGTCGCAAAAGTGTCCATCTCCCAAAAAAAAAAAAAAACAAACCCATACGTACGCACACAAAGGCATGCGAGAACCTAAACAAATAGGACCAGAAAATATTGGCATAGCAAGAGATACGGCCACAGTTCAAATGCAAGACTCTCTTCATTAAATTTGCATATGTCGATATTTTTTGGGTAGCCCTTAGAGAGGGTAGAGTATCTCAAAAATATGTGAAAGTTCAGAGGCAGAGCCTCAGACAGCTTACTAGACATGGTAATGTGATGAATGTCAGTCCAATTAAAATTTCTCGTGTGCTTCTTGATCCTCTTAGATGACAATCTATAAATGGCGCAGACATATGAAATTATTCCATAAAGCATTTTATAACAAGCCATTTCAGATGGTTAGTCGCATAAGACCATAAATTCCACATCGAAGGGCATCCCGATGCAAAGTCGTATTTCATGGAATTTCTTCAGTTTACGAGTATATTGAATTTTATTTACGTACTTGCTGGATTCTCAGTAATTATTTGGCATGTGCGTCAGGAAAGTTTGCCATTTTCGTGAACGAGTGCACTTCAAAGTTTATGCGCCAAGTGCTACATGGCGTATGTGTAATTTTTCATTTCGTTACCAGATTCAGGCCACTCCCAGGATATCTGTATCTCATCCCCTTCGACTGTCATGTTCTACACTCCTGCCAGCCTGCCTGCCAGCTTGCTCGTGTGTGTTGGTATAGTTTCAAGTGCTCTTTTCCCGTGCCCTGTTGATGTTTAGTTTTTAGACATGCCGGCAAATATATTTGAATTTTATGCAAATTTTAATTGCTTTACTTTGCGATGGAAATTTACGACCCCAGTCGTGGCACGAATGAAAAAAATATGAAGGAAATCTAAGTTAGTAACGGAAAAACGAGTCGTCGGCATAAATATTTTAGTGGTGCTAAAATAAATAATAGCCATTCTTGGTGGTTAATACCCAACATTGCCGGCAATTAGCTAGGAAGTCAATGGGGGCATCCGGGGGAACAAAAAAGGCATGCGATTCGGCGAGATTTTATTGCCCGCCTTGACTTTTCCTTGCACAGATAAAAAGCTCCCGCACAAGCTCGCCGACAGAGCTCAAGGACTTGCGGAAAGTTTCATATTAATTCGCAGAAATCACTCAAAAGGATTGCCAGCCAGCATCGCAGTAACACATGTGTCCTTCTCTCGGCTTCCTTTTTCCTTTTGGGAAAGCATTTCCGGCTTTCTTTTATATCCTCCACCCACCATTTTTGGACAGTTGAGTTGCTAGACAATTGACTACACGACCAGCTGAGTTGTTTATTCGATTTTCACTGGCCAAGGCGAATGGTCTTTTAATGGCCTCCTAATGGCCCAGCCATGACATTTTTATCGTTATCAATTTGGACAGTTTGTTAATTTATTTTACGGTTTTTTTTTAGTTCTCAGCTGGCTAGTCCTTATTTATAATCTCTCTACTCTCTTTGTAAATTAATATTTTAAATATTCATTGTAAGTTTTCTATTTAAGAGTTCCTAATGTCCTAATGATATCCTCGTATTCCAGACGAACCCCAAGTCTCCGTCTGGCAGGCGTGTCCCTGCAGCTGTTACATGCTTTTTACGAGCACCAATTTCTGCAACATTGACAGAAATGTGCATAATAACCGAAATGCTTTTTACATTGCCGCTGCAAAGGAAGTCATAAATAAGCCAAACGCTGACGGGGCAGTCGAAGGCGGCGTCTTCATTGTCCAGACTCGACCGGAAGGGGCGTGGCCCCGCTCCCATTTTTCCGGCTGCATCTGTGTCGCCACAATGGGCGCAAATCAAGTTATTACGGGCCCATCGCCGGACTTTCCAACTGCGTCACACATGGCGTATGGAGCATAAATAGCCCAGCCCCCTGCCAGCCACTTGCCACCGATCCTGGCTAGAAACTTTCTTTATGCGCTTTCCATGAACATTTCGTGGCAGGTTTATGTATTTAATGGACTTTGCACAACTTTCCTTGCTGCCTTGTTTGCTCCCTTGTACGATGGCCCTTTCTTCTTGGCCATTTTTGGCCCGAAAGTCTGCATCGCAAGTTGGAAGGCTCGGACGCATTATGTCCATTGGCAAAGTTTGGTGACGCCAGCATTTATAACCGCCTCAGCGTCCATTTTGATTATTAGCCACCATGACGCACATACACTGGCCCACACAATGCGTGGGTCTTAATGTTCCATTAAATTGATCGTCTGCCCAGCAAATTTCGGTTCACTTGCGGCGCCAGACGAACCATAAATGGTTAAATGCATTTCGAGCACTTAAGGATACGAAAATTATCAAAGCATATGGGAATAATAAGTGCAGGAGATTGATAAGATCAAAATTAAATACTAAATTTTTGGATATTTGATTTTTATTATATTTTTAAACTTTTAGTGTACCAGTTCCGAATACTTCCCCACCGGCAGGCAACCTTGGCATTTTCCTTCACCTTTCTCTTACCTTGAACTTTGGTTAGAAAAATGAAAACAGATAGTGAAAAGGTCCTGTTTTGTTTGCATGGTTTTTGAAAAACACATTTGAATGGGCGCACTATGCATGCGAAAGGCCAGGAGTAAAACCAACATTCACGGGCAAACAATGTGAGTTTTCAACAGCCAGTGAATATGGCAGGGAGCTCTTAAAGTATTCAACTGAATCAGAGCTGAAATAATCCTGCAATTTTAACCTGTATGTATGCAGAGAGTTCCCCTTTTGGCAATGTTATTTTACAGCTTGCAAATCCGTATTCAAGCGTTTGCCAATTTCGCCTGAGGCATTGGACTTGGCACACAGTCCGCTTTCGAATAGACGTCGTGAAGCAGCAAAAAGCCAAACACATAAGATGGCATTCTGCTGTCGCCGGTTTCCTCCGGCGACTGTTCTCGCAACATTATTAAAATGTTGTCAGGCATTCCGAACACAAGTACAAGTCGCAGTTGCAGCAATATTTCATAGTTGCAGCCTCTCAAGCCATACGAATATGTACATATATGTATATAAAGCATTTTGCCACGCAAGCACTTGACGCAATAAAAAGGGAAATAAGCTGCAATATTGCTTTAATAAACTTGCAACATGGCTTACACAGTTTTCAGAGTAAAATGTTTAAATTCAAACAAATAAATGAGTGCTTTTTAAAGGCACTCTTTGCCTTTTTTCAAGATATATTAATAGCTATCTAAAAAGCTTACAAATATGTCTAAAGTTTTAAAGAAATATCTAAAATTTTGTATCAGACTTTAAGGACACTGCTCAGTATATCTTTATATAAATGGATTTTTACCAAAGCCACGAAGTGTATAAACGATGAACCGAAATGGAAACGGAAGTAAAGTATCAACAAGCGCTGACAGCAAGGACACAACGACACTTATCGAATGCGAAATTGATGAGCTAGGCAAATGACAGTCCGGCTGCGATGGCTCACGTCCCTCGTCCTCATCACCAGTAACAATCCCAGGGTCCTCCTGGTCCGCCTCAGTATCTTGTCGGTATCCAACCAACCCTGAGGCATAATGAAGGCC